ATTGTCCGGAGGTAGGCATTGTCTTCTGTATATAGTTGCTCGATGTCATGTGGTGGATTGCAAATTAGTGCGTCTGCAAGTGAAGACTGATAGCTCGTCTGGACCAAGGAGTCAGTCAATCTGTTCGCATCAATTTTGCGGTGTTTCGTTTTTGGGGACGCCACAAGACATGCAGATGTTTGCACAGACCACAGCATGACCTGAGTCAATGAAGGTGGACCAAAATGACCTGCAGTTCAGTACGCTGCCCAGCCAGCTGAAGTGGACTGCAGTCCGATCAAGTTGAAACCACGCTTGTGTTGACGAAGGCAGACCCCAAGTTGCGGAACGTTTCTTCGTATGCTTAAATTTGCTGCCCGATATAAACTGATGACTGTCTTCGCACAATGCCAGAAGTTTCTCTCCGTTATCCGAGCGGTCTCTATCGAGCGCGTGGTGACCAACAAGGTGACGTTCGTACCTTAACAGGCCGTAAAGCCGTGCATTGAAATCAGCAGCGAGGACAAGGACATCCGATTTGTAAACCTTGCTTAAGGGCTTACGAAGCGTTCGATAAAAGTCGCGTTTGACCGATTCACTGCTACAGTCATTTGGAATTTTCGCGGAGATCACAAACAAGTTGCATCTCTCCTCGCGATGCTTGTTAATTCTACATGAACACCGAAGGCAAACTGCACACAGTCGGAAGATAATCGGGAACGACCTTGCCACTCAGTGCTATATCTACAGCAGCGGAACCTGCAGCAGCATCATCAAGAGACTCCACGGAGTGGGCGCTAGACCGCCTCGATGTCCAATCTGAACGAGTGTCCCCAGGTTGCAGCACACCAGAGGATCTGAGTCGAAGGAGAACTTAATGGTTCCGCAGTACAATGGGAATCGCAGGTAGATCCATGGAGACAGGAATCAGGCGAACGGAGAGCAAGAATTGTTAAAAAAACAGTGGGCGTGCGATGAAGTCGCGTGAATACAAGAGATAGGAACGGCAGCAAATGAGTGCATTGTAAAACAGTCCAAAGTTCTTCGTTAAAAGGAGTGATACTACTCGGTCGCGCAAGTCAAAGTAGGGAGCTGACTTAGGGGACCCGATACCGAGCCTTCGACTAAATAGCCCACCGGCAAAGCAGCGCGGTGAACTCAGGAAATCGTGCTCATTGGGAGTCGGTTGTTAACTGCCCAGTTCATACGCCTTTTGTTTGGTCGGTTACCAAACAGGGGTCCAAGCCCCTCCCCCATTACTTAAGCAAGAGGATGCTGGAGTACAAGGCTCCACCGGAGTGAAGGAAGGGGCAGCGACTTTATTTAGTGGCGAGTAGGATCCGCCATGCCACCGCGATGTTAAACAGATATTTGTGGTTTATATATGGAGGTTTGCTAGACGAGAAACCATCACGTTCTGAAACACTGCCGCCGGACGATTGGCTGGAACAAAATAATCCCGAAGCACCCAACTAGCACCAAGAAGAAGCTATCCGATGAGTAAGCCCACGTCATGAGCAGAGGGAACTAAACAGACAAAGAGGAGAAAAGATCACTGGCAACGGGACTCTGCTGGCAGATGTGATACCCTCCAGTAATCTATTGGTTGAGGAGGAGGACACCGTCGGGATTCCATCTTGATTACCTTAGACAACAGAGCAGGTCCAATCAGTACTTTATTGGGACCTGAATGATATAGATCGCATGCAGCCGTAGGCGGATCATAAACCGAAGCAATAGCGCATATTTCTCTGGCATATCTGGGTATATGCAGATACAGCCACAGGTTAATTTGCAGGTCTGCAATTTTGCCAAATGAGTGCCTGGCTTGAGGTGTGAGTTAGCAAACCATTGAGACGCTGTGCTTTCTCACTGTCAAAAGCAAATTGTGACACTAGTGATCAGGCTTAGCATTTAACCGGTGACTATTGTCGCCATATGAGGACGTTGACGTGAAGTCAAACCCGAAAGTGGCACGAAGCGTAGAGTAGTGCCACATAGGGGCAGGAAAACTGTCGTGCTATGTTAGGATACAATCTTGTTGTGAGCGAATTAAGCACAGTACGCCAACGAAAGACGCCTAGTGCAGAATGGCTTAATCCATTTAGTCGATGGATTCCGGTAGAGATAATTGGACCATGAAATAAACATTTTGTTCAATACGTAGCCCAATCCGGCACATTTAGCACTTTTTCCTCATCATGTAATGTTTGAGTCTGATGAGAATTACCGAAAAGAATTCTTTACTCAGATTTTGCCTCCCTTGATTCATTCTAATAAATGGGAATTTTTGGATTGCTGAGGAGCAGCATTCCCCGTGATTCAGTCATGAAATAAACAGTGAAGGCGTACTCATGTGGTGAGTGCAAAACAGGTAGAAAAATCAGAAGACGCAAACTGTGAGATGACTCGGTCATTTCGCACAAGCTCGTCAATCACAAACCATGCAAAAAATCATGGGCACACAAAACGCGGTCGCATGAGGTCAATAGGCAGCTAAACGTTGGCCAATCGCCACGCTTCACATTAATGCGGTAGGTTAAGATGATTGGCAGACAGCTATGTTTGTACGCAAAGCAGTGGTCGCTCACGATCGGTGACAAAAGCCTGAGAATGTGGGGCCACTGATTGCGCATCAGCTATGCACGGAATTGTTGCAGCAGATGCTTCTTTTGTGCACAAAAATATCAAGTTTTATTTTTCGACAGATAGAACGATGTTCTGATAGGCAGTCCACAAGACTATATATATATATATTTATATTTATTCACAGTCTGTTAACAGACATTGTGCCATCAGAACCATGGCGGAAGAAAAAGGTGAAGAAGATGGGGACACTAATGCGATTAAAAAATATGGGAAACGAATTTTTTTGGTTTTACACACGCCATTTTGTATTTTTTGTTTTGTTTTGTGAGTTTTTGTGTGTATCAAAGGGATGGTGAAATTGCGGAACAACATTGCCGCCACTGATGTCTGTTGCGGGCCATGACGTCCAATGTTTCCAACCACTGCAATTCAGCATCTCGTGGTCCCCAACCTGGAAGGCGGACTGGTCCGACTGCTGCCAAACTTGAGGTCGCCTTCTTCATACTCCTTCTCCACGTCATCGGCTGTCCACCGCGGCACTTTTTCCAATCGCTCCCTGGGAGTGCAAATAGCGCTCGATATGGAAGGCGATGGGCTGGCATGCGCAGAACATGCCCGAGCCAGCGCATGCGATGTCGGAGAATAACGTCTTGAAGACTGGCACTATTCGCCCCAAGCACGCGGTCTCTCACCTCTGCGTTGCTTACGTGGTGTTGCCACCACACCCTTGCAATCCTTCGTAGACAGCGATTATCAAAGACTGATAGCCGCTTCATATCTTCCGAGCGAATAGGCCAAGTCTCACAGCCGTACAAGAGTACTGCACGGACGGAACCATTGTACACCCTGCCCTTGAGCTTGAGACTGACATCACGACGACGCCATAGATATCTCAGTTTGATGAATGCAAGGCGGGCCTTTGCAATCCGTTGTGAGACTTCATCTCCAACACCGCCACCAGCCGTGATGCAACTCCCTAGGTAAGTGAAGCAAGGGACTTGCTCCAGAACATGTCCAGCAATGGTGAGCGCGGGTTCAGGCACCTGCCAATCCTGGAGCAGCGTTTTACATTTTCCCGGATTGAAGCATAGGCCGTACTTAGACGCCTCCATCGCCAAGCGGTCCAGAGCGTTCTGGACGGATTGTGGGTCGTCCCCCAGCAAGGCGATATCATCGGCGTAGTCCACCAGACTCTTTGTTGGTGGATGTGTTTATGGGTCTGATCGAAGAGGAGGCAGATGAGATCACAAAATCAACGACTCTATGCAAGCGTTATGTGGATGATATACTGCTTATCATGGAATTCGATGAGGACATTGTGCGTGCGACTGACACACAACAGCATGCACTGGAACCTTACAGTGATGCGTGACATAGAGCGAAATAGTTGTCTTCCATACCTAGATATACTGAGCACACGGCGATTGGATGATTCGATCAGGTCAGTTTACCGGAAGGCAACATGAACGGATGAGCATTTGTATTTTAAGTTTCTTACCAATACAACACAAACGTTCGCTTGTCCGGACGCTGTTTCATCGAGCCCACTGAATTTGCACCCCGGACACATTAGAAGCAAAGATTTGCTGTTCACGACATTAAAATCGAATAGTTATCCGATGCAGTTTATAGAGAGCATTAGCAACATAGCCAAGTGAGATCGCGTACCAACGGTTCAAAAGAAGCCGATCTTCATCGAACTGTAATTCAAAGGTGATCATAGTATGAAAATCACCGCAAAATGTACTAATGCTTCCGTGGAAATGGTATGTAGTGCAGACGAAATACGGTTGCTCAAGTCAACAAGACCTCTCCTGATGTGTTCCATCAAGCTACCGATAAGGAAGCAATGCATCTCCCACTACTTATACAAATTCACTTGTAGCTGTGAAGGCAGCTATGTCGGGCGCACTGATCGAATTCTAGGTGTCAGAATCAATGAACGCAATCCTAAGTGGTCACGCAACCGGATGGGATCGATGACAACGGATGCAGTTGAGTTGTGAAATCGATCTGCGTCGGCAATAACAAGGTATTTGCTGAGCACCGGCCACCGAGTCAATCCCGATGAGTCATTAGCCGCCTGGATGCACAAAGAGCGGTCCTACATTCTCAGGCTATTGGAAGCCAGTGTTATTAGTCGAGAGCGGCCACTGCTTTGCATGTAGAAACAACTGATTGTGTATGTTAACCAACCGCAGTAGCGTGACGCTTGACCAACGTTTGGCTATATATTGACCTCACATGACCGCGTTCTGTATAGCTATGTTTTTCGCATGATTTGTGACAGACGACCTTGCGCGCACTGACGTAATCATCTCACAGTTTATGTGGTTTGAGTTCTCTGTTTGGAATTATAAAGGGAATTTTCTGTGTCAAAAAGTAAGCAAATTAGCTCAGCGGTTTATCATAACACGAAAAAGCAAACGTACTTGGATGTGGAAAAGAGGGTGTCCTGCCGACCGGCGTTCAAAGCAGCATCCATCACAGACCTTAACCGAGCCTAAAACACGACGGAAAGCAAAACCGCCTATATGAAAAGAGTACTTTAAACGTTAACAAAAGTGAACGACTGGCATCGTAAAAAGGTTTGACACCAACTCGCAATCGGTTTTTACGAATCCCCATGAATTGATTTGCAGCTTAAAGTAATACGAGAGGTTAACCGAATTGACAGTGATTTTTCTTCGCAGTGCCCTTTAAATGAGACGAGAAACAGTCTCCAATGCGACTTAAATATTTAAGATATAGTTGCACTAAGTTGTCTCAAAAGCAACTGAAATAGTTTCGATACCATGCCGGATTTTTAGGAGGTTTCTCAAAGTTCATTTGTCATGGGTATATCAAGGGACACACTGAAACCACAATCCTACATTGTCCAATTAGCCTGCGTTTTTGGTAATGGCAACTGAGCAACGTGCGTTTCGCGGGTGATTGTTGTACGAGGTTCTACAAGGTCGAGGCTTGTCGAAACCCGCGTGGCTGCTCCAGGTTGTGGTATGGTGTCATTTTGGTACGTCGTTCCGAAGAAGAGAACTACAGATTGTCAAACATCGGAGATCAAGGACATCGTCAGCACCATTCAGGACACTCTAAAAAAGGACCCGAGGCAAAGTGTGCTTTAGCAACCATGACCCCCCTCCTAAAACCACCCTATATTGCCATCTGTGCCCATCTGGAAGGGTTCCAAAACTCGGACAACTGGTAACACCACAAGAATTGATTGAAGCCCTGCTTTTGAACTGTTGGTCCATCTCACTTTTACTGCTCGCCCGTGGACGCGATCGTCGATGGACGAACGATGTCGTTGATGGAGACGAGAAGCGGGTGCCCCGTGTCAAGCAGAGTAGGACGCGCCACAGTATCACAACAGATGAAACGCCAGTACAAGCTCCGAAGTGTAAACCGCACGGCAAAAAGTGATGCTGTCGGTCTGGTGGAACAGCGGCTTAATGCATTGGGAACTGCCATCTGATAATACCAGGATGATTGTCGATGTCTACAGTAAAATGGCAAAAATGGCTGATGAATACCAAAAAAGTGTCGTGAACGGTGCGAATTCTCCTCCTGCATGACAACGCAAGTCTTCATGTGGCAACCGTGACGTAGTTCGTTATGGAAGCTAGTATGCATCTAACATATAACACGAATCTTGATCGCACTGAATCCCACGGCGGAGCTGTACGCTATCAGGCGCATCTTCAGGCTGCGGATTGGGGAATGTTTTCTTTGTGGAGGTAACTGCGAATAACTCTCAGGTGCCTTGCAGGCGGGATGAATAAGCAGTCGCGGACAATCAGAGGCAGCATCACAGAGTTCTTGGCTGATCAACTGGTTCTCTATTAAATACCAAAAGAGCTCGTACGGCGCTGTGTCAACTCCAATGTGTCCGGCTATAGGGTCACTGACCACTCACTTCTGTACACAGAGTTGAGTACCTATCGGAGGGCAGACGAACAACCCTGCTGGTGACCGGCTTCTGTGTGGACTGCTTCCGAACACAAAGGTGAATGAGCCACCCGACTGTCAACTTGCATGAATCTTCCCGCTGCTATGCGGGTCAGATCTTTAAAATCAAAAACTCGGGGTAGGGTCCCTTAAGTCAACCCTCTTCCTCGGCCTGAGAAACCGGGAAGCTCATTCCCCACGCAACACACGAACCCTCCCAACCTTTTCGCTGACGGTTTTTTTTCCTTTTTTTGGTTATTTTTACTTATGTGTTGTGGTACTCGGCCAGTCTTTTGCTGTGATTTTCCAATAACCACTTTCATTATACTTTTAAACTCTCCTTCTTTTTACTAATTCTACCACAAACCTGATTTTGAACTGTTCCGGAAAATCTTAAATGTGAGACAGTGTTGTACCATATGATCAGTGCAAGTAGTTGGACTGTAACTCGCACAGTTGAGACATATATATTTTCACACAATCCTTCTGACGATCACTTGTTCCGCTTGTTGCAAAATCACAACAAGGACAAGAAATTCCATGAAACCGAAACGTACCTTGCCCAATATGTTGACAACTACCCCAGCTCGTTTTATGAGAGAGGTATCGATAACACTGGAAGTTACCATGATTAAATATTGTCGCAGGTCCAAAATAAACACTGATTAAAATTGTGCTAAGAATTTCAATTGGTTTCAGGACAACCCAAAACTCATAGTGAGCCTGAGTGGATTCGCTCGATAAACGTGCCCTACAATCGCTCATTTGCGTAACTGTATGCAACTAAATAAACAAACTTTACATTCCTCGACGACGCGAGAAGCTGTTCCCTGATAGGGACAGATCCAATAATGGTACAAGTTTTCCATGACATTTCACTAATACATTTTCAAAGACAAACATGGGTGCAATTGCAAATTAAGTAACAGAGTAAGAAGAATCGTTCTGCTATTTTTTTCCTGCCATTGAATCAGGATTCTTCACAATCACATGACAGATATTTGGGTCGAGAAGAAAAAGAAATGTAATGAAAGGGGCTGTTGTCCGAATTGTCATGTGTATGTGTTTCGGAAATTTATTCAGTTACCATGGACACCGTTTTCGAATGCGTTATCTATGGACTGTGATGTCCCGAACATCTTAATCACGTTTTGGACAGTTAAATGCTACTAATCGCAAGCTTAAAATTGCAAAGTGTATAGCATGTTCTGATAGCACTTGGAAATTTATTCTAAATCTTTAAGTATAGGGTTAGAAAGAAACGTTCTCTGATGCTTGTAGTAAATTTTGGAATCATGACGTTTACCTCTTTGTTACGAATTGGATATCTGCTGTTTAAAGTTATGTGAACACCGTTTTCAGGACCGCGAATTTGATAATTTATGATTCTTTAAAGAAAACATGGGTTCAGCTTCATTATCCGAAGCCAAACTGGGTCAAATCCAAGTTTATCACATCGCTCTCTGTATGTCAATTTTGAGGAACATCCACATAGCTTTTTCGTGAAGCGTCTCTGGACCATCTGAAGAGCGTGCTGGTCAGACTTCCACAGATTAGACGATTGTACCATTGAACGGTATTCCATCCACGGTAATACATTCGTGTTTTGTAAAGCGATATGCGCGATTCCGTGAACTACTCGTTCAGCGGTGCTTCATACGGCTCCCCAGCTCTTTCGCATCTACACTCCGTTTGTCGCCGCAACACTTTGTAGAATCATCGTCAGATCAAGCCATCCCGTAAAAAGCTATGTCGTATTTGGATCGCTCAGAGTAGTAGTAGTTTGGTTGATTCCGCACAATGGAATGGTGGAAACACCACCCGGGGATATGGATCGAAGTGAAGTCGTTTTAAGTCACACTAGCTAGTCAGCTAAGGTCAGTGAAGTAAGGTCGATGTGAACATACGTGTCATGACTAAAATAGCTACAACAATTGCAACAAATACTCGAGGAGGAGGATGAAAAAATAGCAAAAGTAGCACGAAATATCAGCCGAAGACAGCGGGCCGGAATAGTGTATGCTGGTTGCCTAGGTAACTGACACAAAAGAGGGGGGGTGAGTTTCGGCGATGTAAAGCATACATGAAGACAACAATAGGTTTGAATTTGGTCTCTAGCCTAGAGCAGTCGACCTTTCAATCCAATGAGAGAATTTTCCCGATTTTCCCCTCTAAATATCTCTCTCCCTGTGTACGTTCTTCGTCGTGTTCCCCAGATGGTCGCTCCAATTTATGGGCCGTATACCGCTTGTTATGTAAGTCAAGGCGACTGGGTGCATCGCGACACGATGCTCGAATCAGAGCTGCCCAAATTAGGTGAAATCCGCTGATCAGATACCTCCAAGTGGACACAATTGTGACAACTGAGGGGGCCAGTCAGATGCTGTATCAGCAATACTTCGAAAGTTGAAAGTGAAAAACACATACCGAAGCACTTGACGACATGCGTCAGCAAATTTAACAGTTCATTTATAAGAGTTGAATCAGACACCAAAAAAGTATTGTCGTCAGCGTGCTCCGGAGTTCGTCAGTTAGTCAAATGGCGGAAATTTCACTTCAGGGATACAGAAGGAATACGGCGACGCGGCACAACGGCTTGCTTGTCTCTAGAACTCATTGAGCTACGCAGGATTGTACTTTGAAAATGGGCTCAAAACCACTCCTACCGGACAGGGTGATGGTTAGGCGTCTGACGGACTCAGTCGCAACACACTCTCAGCGGCTGGGGAGAGATAAATGGCCATTTCACTTCAAAAGTGAGTCGCAAAAAACAATAATGTAAGTAATATAGATTCAACTCTATTGCTGCATAGCAAAAAACAGCCTGCGATTGATGGCGAACAGACTTTCAATTTACGACGATCGAAAAGACTGCACGAAGTATGCAGAACCACCCATGGTTGTGCGCAAAACGGTCAGGCATATATAAGTGAGATTCTCCGGTCAAGTCATCTCATATGAGATGTGCTATAGAGCCAAAAACTCAGTCAAAGCTCCTTGTGGATCAGATTGCTGGCAGAAAACCAAAGGGTGAAAAATCCAGACAAGCGGAGAGTAACAGTTCCGTCACTAGTGCTCGTTTCTATTCGTCTGTTTCTAGTCAAATTTCTCATGTCAGGAGGCAACATATAAATTGGGTCTGTCCCATTCCACCTGAAGTTTTATGCATCTGCGGATGTCAAAGACAGATCGCACACGGTTCGCGTCTAGGATACTGGAGCATCCCCGTGAATCATGACACCGACGGGATCGTAGCCATTATCAGATGTGTGGACTACTTCCCTAATATGGACTCCAGGGAATATCCCCATGCGTACGCTGTGGTTTCGAAGACCTGCTCGGTGTTAATAAGTATCTGTCGTAGGAAGCCCAACATTCTATTGCTTCAGCACATATGCACACGGACTGGAAACGGTCAGAAATGAGAAAAGAATTCCACTAGTCTTTTTATTCCCTAGTTCGAATGTCCAAATGCATGCAAGCCGTAATCACTGCGAGTGACTTAAGTGTTAAGGGTGTCGGTCCGTAGCATCCCTCGAAACCAGCCTTCTAGCT